ATAAGTTTTTGGTAATAAAAATAAATAAACATATATAAAAATTACTGTATATTAAATTTTTTTAACAAGTTCTCATTATTAATTTAATAAGTAATTATTTGTAAAATAACAAGCTCCATTTCTAACTTTAAAAATTTCTCTTCATAACTTGATTAAAAATTTTTAGCAAAATAACAAATTTATATAAGCTTTTGACATGTAAAATTTTGGTAAAAAAATAAGTAAATATTTATAAAAATCACTCCATATTAAATTTTTTTAACAAGTCCTCGTTGTTAATTTAACAAGTAGCCATTTATGAAATGATAACTCCCTGTTATATTTTAAAATTTGTTTTCACTTTTTATGTTAATACTTATCAAGGGCTCAATGATTACTTCTTATTTTACAAATGGCTACTTGTTATATTACTGATGGAACTTGTTAAAAAATTTAATATGAATTGATTTTTGAAATGTTTACTTATTTTTATTATCAAGAATAACAAGTTTTCATTGATAATTTAACAAATAATTATTTATGAAATGATAAATCTCCTTACTAGTGTTGAAAATTTCTCTTAATAATTTGATAAATAAATTTTAATAAAATAACAAGTTTATATAAGATTTTAACATACCAATATGAACTTATTAAATGAACAATGCAACTTTCTATGTATATTTTAAACTTTCTTTTCATTTTTCATGTCAGTACTTATCAGGAACTTAATGTTTACTTGTCATTTTATAAATGATTACTTGTTAAAAAATTTAATATACACTAATTTTTATAAATGTTTACTTGTTTTTATTACCAAAACCTTACATGTTAAAAATTTATAGGAACTTAAATTTTGCTAAAATTTTCTTGTAAAGTTATTAAGAGAAATTTTTAAAGCTAGCAACGAGGCTTGTCATTTTACAAATGATTACTTCTTAAATTAACAATAGGGACTTGTTAAAAATTTAAAATACACTAATTTTTATAAATGTTTACTTGTTTTTATTATAAAAAGCTTATATATCAAAAGCTTATGCAAACTTGTATTTTGCTAAAATTTTGTTATCAAGCTATCAAGAGAAATTTTTAAAGTAGTAACGGAGCTTGTCATTTAACAAATGATTATTTGTTAATTTATCAATGAGGACTTATTAAAAAAAATTAATATGAAGTGGTTTTTATAAATATTTACTGGTTTTTATTGTTAAAATTTTATATGTTAAAAGTTTATAGGAACTTGTTATTTTGTTAAAATTTTCTTATCAAGTTATCAAGAGAAAATTTTAAAGTTAGTAATGAGACTTGTCATTTCAAAAATGATTACTTGCTAAATTATCAATAGGAACTTGCCAAAAAAATTTAACATGGAGTGATTTTTATAAATATTTACTTGTTTTTATTACTATAAACTTACATGTCAAAAGCTTATATAAATTTGTTATTTCACTAAATTTTACTTATCAAATTATCAAAAAAAAAAATTAAAGCTAGTCACGAGATTTGTCATCTCACAAGTGGTTACTTCTTAAATTGCTAATAGAAACTTGTCATTCCTAATAATAAAAATAAGTAAATATTTATAAAAATTAATGCATAATAAATTTTTTAACAAGTCCTATTAGTAGTTTAACAAGCAACTATTTATAAAATAACAAGTAAGCACAGAGCTCCAAATAAATGTTAACGTAAAAAGTGAAAACAAAATAAAGTATATATATAAAAATTTACATTATATAATTGGTGGCCAAGAGGATGTAGATTCAAACCTCACTTTGGCCGCCTTAAAAAAAATAATAATCTACCTCCCTTGCTAGTCCAGTGATCGGTGTTGAAGCTCCGATGGACCATCACTATAGGAGCTAAGATGGCTAGTCCGGCAGGGTGGTTTAGCCACCGGCACTGTAGTTCTGGTGGCCAATGGCTGATGATTTTTTTAGAAAATGAAGGGCAATTTTGTTTTTCCACATTAAAAATTAATCACATTTTAATTTCTTAGTTTTACAGCATAATTTCAGGATAATTTGATTCTTGTCTATAAATAAAATCCTTCATAAGTCCTTCACTGTGATTTCCCTTTCAAATGAGAAACGTAGTCCAGATCTTTTTACAGAAAATAACAGGGCGGTGATTTAATTCAACCAAGTGCATTTTTGTGTATTTTACATAAATTTTGAGGAATGAAGATTATTCTTTATAAATTATGAATAATTTGATTTATTATAAATTTTTAATTCTACATGAATATTCCCGTAGATAAATATTATATAATCACCCACTTGACATAGTAACAATCACGCTTGTGCCAATAATGCCATGAAAACATTTACCAAAAAATGTCATGAGAGAAATTTCAATGAATGTATAAGAAAACAGTAACTACAAAACAGTGGTTCATGTGTTTAAGTGAAAAAAAAATGGAATTTCCCACTTTAACTCTTTAAGGAGAAAAATAAAAATAAAAATAAAAAGTCAGATGCATTCATGAAAATGCAAAAGCAACCATGGGACCTGTAATTTTGATAAGCGAGGTCAATAGGGAAAATCCAAAGTGGAGAAGCCTGAAACTGTTGCATCAGTGGAAAGGCAGAATATTCCTCGCTCAAACAAACTTGGGATTAATTAATCAACGTAACCTTCATGTATAGCAATGGCCACGCAAATGAAAAAGTTTTAAGGTCCTATTGTTTTTGCTAGTCCTAATTAATTAATTCATTTGTAAGCATGATTACCATTCCACGAACACTCATATTATTATCATGATTCTTTTTTCTTTTGAGTGATTTTTTAGTTTATTAAATTTAAATGGTAATTTCACCAGTAAACTATAAATCCAAAACTCTAAATTTATTTTTAATATAACATATTTCTTCAACTTTTAAAAACAGTGTAATATTGATACCACCGTTAATAAAAATTAACTTTAACTATTAATTGATTAGAAAATAATAAAAAATAATCTCAAAAATTTTAAAAAGCTAAAAGAATTTCTTGATTCTTTTACGTAATTTATGAAATTTTTTATAATTTTTTATTAATTAATGATTAAATTTGACATTTATTTATATATTATTTTTAAATGTTGAAGGAAAATATTATAAAGAAAATGAGTTTAGATCCTTAACTTTGTTGGAGGGAAATGGAAAGAAGGAAAATTTTTAACGGGTTGATTGTGTTCAGTCTAAAAGAAATGGATAAGTGAAGTTATAAAATTTTAATAAAAAGAAGATGTAAAACAAAACAGTACAAAAATAATTAAAATGTTTTAACTTCATTTCTTCATTTCTTTCTTTCTTTTTTGGTATCGAACATTCCCTCTCTCTGTGGATTCCCCCCTAGTCGACATCCTTGAAGATGTCAGCTCATATAACTGCCTGATAGTAACTTGAAACTTAATGGAGAATTCTGATAAGTTATATGAGCTAGTCGGAAAATATTAATGTCTCCATGTAATAATTCAACTTCGACTTCTCCTTATACCACTAACACTCTCAGCTCGATCAAACACAATGATTAAAAAACAAAAAATTACTAAAACACGCTAACGAAGTTCCAAATCTTTGGAGTAAGGATTCGGGCTTTTTAAAAGGCTGGAAAAAAGGATTGTTTGGCTTTCTAAGAAGAAGGACAAAAAAGTAATTCTAAGAAAACTCATTTATAAGGTCCGTTAGAATAATAGACTATATGTTTCATGTTTCTAGACTTAATCAATATAAATATCCCTATAAAATATAAAGTACAAAACAAGACTTCCTGTTTAAGTATTCACGAATTTATGAATTGTGATCATTATAATTCATTATGAAGACTTTGTACACTATAGCAGGAGATGAACTGATTGACAGATATTTCAAATTTATTTATTTTTATTTTCTTGTTTCCGTTTTTTTTTTGGTTGATAGTTTACAAGAAGGAGAAAAAAAAAAATACATCCAACCCATTTGAATTAACAAATTATGCCGGTGGAAAAGTAACTTGATATCCCTCTAATAAGATCATTGGTCCAAACTTTGTGCCTGAAAAAAAAAAATTATAACTTTAAGTGTTTATACTTTACTCATATTTTATTATTAATCCTTATATTTTGTTCGATGTCCTGCATCCTTACATTTTTTTCTGTATTTTAACTCCCTTTATAAACAAAGTGTAGGATCCTTAAAAGGACCTAAAATATTATTAAAAAATAAAAGCATATGGGCTTAAAATATTTAAAAAAATACAAAGATCAATAGCAAAATATAGAAACCAAAAATTATGTTTTTTCATAAAAAAAAATGTTAGAAGAGTTGCCTTTTCTATATTTTCTTATTACTCAAATTGAAAAAAAAAATTTAAATACAATCATTTTTGTAGATCAGCTATCCTTAAAGTACTGAAGTTTTATATACTCTGACACGACCTGAGTGTTACTTTTCTATGGTTTTTCATGACCTTATATTGAAAAAAAAAAAAGTTAATATTTCACTATGGTCTTGTGTCCATGAACCAACGTGATGCTTGCAAAGTAGGATTAAGTTCGATAGGCCGCCTTCACATCCCTATTTAAAAAAAAAAAAGAAAGAAGGAGAAGTTATTACAATTTTTGTTTTTTGGCCAAAAGTGTTTACAAATTCAAGAAAAAAATTTTCCCTTGAAAAAATTCTTAATGATAAAAAAATTTTAAAAAAAAATTCCACCCGGCCTTCTTACCATGGGCCAATCCAAAGCCAACCCATCATCACAAATGACTTTGACCAACAACAAGGAAATCTCCTTAATCAATAGCTACATTAAAACCCATATTCAACCACAATTAAACCAAAATTCCAACGTCACATCTCCATGATCTCGCCACGTGTCACCTCCACAATTCACCAGATAGTCATCGGTTCCAGATCTTCCCACCTAATACTCTCTCATTTGACACGCATGTTTTCCCCCACCTCATGCTCCACAGCAAGTCAGCAACGGTCGTCTCTCACAAAAAATATTATACCAAAATTCCAAAAAAACCTCTCTTTAAATTCCAATCCCCACCATCACTCTCTTCAACCTTCAGTTTCCTTATCCTTCACCTCTCTTCCAATAACGTTATCTCAATAAACAGAAACATATACTTATCAGTTATTCATATATCCTCTTTTCAGATTTTCGCTCTGTCCTTCTTCTTCATCTTCCACTGTCATGGAGTTTCAGAGACCTCACTTTTCTGTTGTTCTCTGTTTCACTCTGTTCAGTCTTCTCTGTTATTGTTCTCAGGCGTATGTGTTCTATGCTGGTGGAAGAGATGGATGGGTTTTGAACCCTTCTGAGAATTACAATCACTGGGCAGAGAGAAACAGGTTTCAGGTCAATGACACTATTGGTGAGCTTCATGCTTTTTTGTTGTTTCCCCTGTTTCAGTTACGCTACGAAAAGTCAAGTCTTTAAAGTTTTTGTCTTGTTTTGTTGGTTTGTGATTATTGTAGTTTTCAAGTACAAGAAGGGGTCGAATTCGGTTTTGGTGGTGAACAAGGATGGTTACGACAAATGCAATAAGACTGATCCGGTCAAGAAATTTGATGATGGTGATTCAGTGTTCAAGTTTGATCGATCGGGACCGTTTTACTTTATTAGTGGGATGGATTATTATTGCGAAAAGGGTCAGAAATTGATCGTTGTGGTTTTGGCCATCAGATCGCCTCCTCCTCCCCCCTCTGTTTCCCAACCTCCGGTGGCCAATCAACCGTCTCCGGCGATTTCACCATATCCATCACCGAAGATATCTCCCTCACCGCCAGCTCCGGCTGTTTCACCATATCCAGCACCCAAGATATCTCCCACATCGCCAGCTCCTTCAATAACCCCTCCGGCTGTTTCCCCAGCACCGGCTAATGTGCCTTCCTACCCAACACCGGCGTCTGCTCCGGCTCCGGCAAAAACATCACCCACACCATCCCCTGCGAATCCACCAGCTTATTCTCCAACGTCACCGCCGTCTCCTGCGACATCGACCCCTGGATCGTCACCGCCCGCACCTCCGGCAACCACTCCATCATCTGTTCCAGGGTCATCGGAAACACCTTCGGCGAGCCCCCCAGGATCAGCGAACCCGTCGTCGTCGAATGAAACATCGCGGGCTCCACCAACTGGATCAGGTGCATGGGTGGTGGCTCCGTCAGGCTTACTGGTGTATTCTGCTGCCATTGTGCTGAGTGCTGCTCTCAGTGGAATTTTGGGTGGACAGGAAAAGAGATTATTATTATAATTTATAATCTAAAATTAATTGTTTGAGAGCTGGCCTGCATATATTTTCTTGAGAGTTATTTTTTGAATTTCTTTTTTTTTTGCGATTATTTTTCATGCTTTGGACGTGATTTTGTGACCTTTTTAATAGGAGAGATCTTTTCTCAGTTCTCACCTCTCACTATTAAAGTATTATTGGTGTATTTTGTGTAAAAAATATCCTAAACGTTGGAATTTGATCATCGAATTATTTGTTTGTTTTGTCCCCAGTTTATTTTTGGGTTAATTAAATTCATGGTGTTTCCCTTACCTTTGAAACTTATCATCGTCTTGAATGCTAAGCTGTCTCGGCCATGGAAAACGAAGGAGAAGAAGAAGCTAAGGTGTCTTAGTGATATGGTTACCTCCCTTACTGAAAAGTAGAGAATTCGAATTTGATGTTGATATGTTTGCGTGCAATTTCCTTTTTTTTTTGTTTTTTAATGAGGAAGAGGTAATTTAAGAATGATTTTTTGCCCTTTCCCTCTAGTATTTTAGATATTTAACTTTAATTAATTTGATGGGTAGTTTGCAAGCACTCTTTACAAGATACACTCCTCCATTTTTATTTATAAAAAAATTATATCATATAATTTAAAAAAATTAATTAATTATATTAATTGTTTTTGAAAATAAAAAAATTAAATTACAATATTCTTCATTAATAATGTTAATTAAGTTTTTATTAATTATTTTTTATAATTGTGAATGATAAAATTATTAGAGATAATTTAAAAAGTTTATAATAGATATTTATTAAAAAATATAATTTTGTTTATATAATCTTTTATAAATAAAAACAGAGGGGGTGTCTCTGAAAATTTAATCACTGTACCCCCTATCCCACCCGAGCTCCAAGTTAAGCTGTCAACTGACCAATGGATCCAATTGTTGATACCTGTAAAATTGTAAAAAGAAACTTATCATAGTTAGTATAGGTGGCAACTGGCAAGTGGCAACCAACAAAACATAAGCAACGTGTTTTTTTGGCCGAGACATTACGTAAGAAACTCTATCATGTACAGGGTATGTAACATTTCCAAAGAAAAACAAGACATAAATTTGAGAGTTGTATAACTTTCTATTTTTTTAGTTGCAATATAATATTCAATCAGTTTTTATTTATGAGATAATTTTAGATAAAACTAGACATAATAAAATAGTTTATTAAGCACATTTTATAACCAAGTTTTATCAAAACAAAATATAATTTTTAAAAACACCCATTATTTAATATAAACATTAAAGAGAGGAGAAAGAATATAATGTGGAGAAAATGATAATATTAAAAAATATTTAATAAAATTTTATTTTTATTAAATTTTCATATATTGTGGGACATTAAATTACCTCTAAGATTATTTTATAAATACGGACGGAGGGAGCATAATTTTCTATTCAAGTAAGTTGGAAAAAAAAAAATTAACCGATTTTTTTGTTTTGTTTTGATGAAAAGACCAAACGCATATTATTAAGACAATAAAACACAACAAAAGCAAGTAACTATTTCTTTTTTTTTTTCTCTTGCACAAATTGTAAAAATTTATTTTCTTTCTCTTCTATCAATGACGCTGAATTCGCTTTTTTTCTTAAAAAAACGTGTCTTGTGAATTAATTCTATAAAAATAACTGTAATAAGTAATTACAAAATTTTATTAGAGGTCGTATGAAGGACTTAATTAACCTGCCAGAGTTAGCGAAATAAATTGTAACTGACCTTCAATCTAGTTTTAAGTTTTAACATTATTTGACATATAACTGAATAGAAATCTGGCTAAAATACAATAAAATAAAAGATACTTACTTTGTTAAAAAATATAAAGTATTTTTAATTAAATTTTATCATAATAAAGTAGTTACTTATTTTTAAATTAAATTTATTTTATTATATTTATTTTTATTTAATAAAATATTTTATTTTAAAAAATATAAAATTATATATTTAATAACAGCACTTTTACAAAAACAAACAAGTAATAATTACACTTAAATTGTCTTTTTTTTTTTTAACAATCAATTTCTTACAAATTATTTTATATTTTTTTAATGAAAAGAGTACTGATATTCATGACACGTGTGGTGATCCTGATAAGAAGAAAATGTCTAAAAGTAACACGCGTCACATTACACTCGCGCGTGGAGGTCGAGTGTAAGAATTAGTAACAAAGTTGATGATTAATAGATAGCAGGGTGATTATTTATATGATGTGACTGGCTAATTCATATTTAGGGGCCAAGTGGGGGAATCTCTAAAAGAGTCTGAAACATTGATTAGCATAGGCATAGCCGATGTTATGGACCTTGAAAATTAATTATTAACATAGTTTAAGGCTAAGAAGGAGATGGAGATGGAGTTTCCATCGTAATGTTGTTAAGTTCTCGAGAGCCTTCCAAGTGTGGATGAGCTCAATGTTAACACGACGTAACTTATACTTCGATGGATTTATTATTCAAGATAAGCAAGTTCGCTGTACTTTTATTCGCCAAGTGTCACTTTAATTTATAACATTTGATCCTGACCACTCTTTCAATTTAAAAATATAAAGTATTATTTGAGAGGTTGAATGTTAAAAATAAAAAATATTTTTAATTTTTCAAAATATAAGTATTGCTTTTTTTCAAAAATATTTTTATTAAATAAATTATTTTTATTTATTTTAAGGTTGAATATCTTATTGAATATAAGTAAATATAAAAAGATAGGATCAATTTAAAAATAAATAAATATTTTATTTAAATAAAATTTAATTAAAAATATTTTATATTTTTCAATGAAGAGGGTATAAGATTTACTTTATTGATTCATACACTCTCCAATCATATTAATAAGAGAGGAAAAATGGTTTGTTTGTTAGTAGCTATTTATAAATGATAAGGTATTATTAACTTTTTTCATCACAAATTCTTTCTCTTAATCTCATTTAATATTAGTGAGGGCAACTATGTTATTAAAACATGTTTAATTCGTTTAATGTAATTTTTTAAAATTATAAATTTATATTTTAAAAAAAGCGAAATTTTTAAAATTATATTTATATTAATTTTGCAGATACTAAAATAAAAGTTTATTTGAAATATAAATCAGTTTAGTCGGTCAAGTTGATGACAAACACCCATCTACAGCAACGTTGGCGATAAGGATGAAACGTGTTTCCTTGTTATATGTAATTTTTGTTGCCTTCTTTTTAGATGGTGTGGAATTTAAAAAGCATGGTAGCCAACAAGGAGGGGGAAAATATATATATATATATATATATATATATATCACTTCACTTTTTTGGGTGGGACTAGCTGGATGCTCATCACCTGTGAAAAAATTTGGGTTATCCAAATTTGAAACTGTTAACTTGTGTTTTTTTTAAAATCATTTTTAAAAGTTCTGGTTAAGAAATTATTTTATTTTTGATATTACATTGATCAAGACAGAATTTATAAAAATTATAAAAATTTTAATATTAAATTTGGAAAGTCAAAACTTAAAAGTAAATTTGAATAGCTAATTTATATAAGTTATAAAAAATTTAATATTAAATTGTTATCATCCAAGTAAATCTGGGCACTGTCTAAATTGTTGATGATGATATTTAATAAAAAATTTTATAATTATTGCAATTTTTAATTAATAAACAGAGAAAAATTGAAAATAAAATTCGTTAAAATTATATAAGTGATAATCTAAAGTCTCAAAATGTTATAATTTTACTAAAATTCTTAAAAAATTTTGTGTCAATAAATTTTAAATTGAAAAGATTATTTTATATGCCAATCAATGTTATTTTATAAAAATTTAACTTAACATGTTAACATTAAAAATATTTTTTAATATTTAAAAGTTTAATGTCGAATATTTTTGTGATGAAAATAGTAATGTAAGGGTTTAAAAACTAAAAAGATAGGTATTATGATCAAGAGATCTAAATGAAATCTTACACAAAATTAAAAGTTTAGAAGTATGCTTTTAAAAAATTATAAGTTAAAAGTTCTGAATCTAAATCAATATGGAAGGCAATTTTTACTTAAGGAAAAAAAGAGAGACTAAAATGCTTATAACTCTCCTAAACTTTAGTTTTGCGTAAAACCTCCTTTATAAAAGCTTAAAATGGAGACCCCGAACTTGTTAACTTTGATTGCCAACCCCTAATCATTAAAATGGCTGTCAAAGTTAACGGAAAAGGTCATCCTCACGCTAGCGAAGAATTCATAATCAGATGACATGGAATTTAAAAGCATTTAATTATTTCGAATATGCCTATTGCCAAGTTCCATTTTTCTCATCATATTTCATCTTCTCCACGCTGTCTTCGGCTTTTCGGTCGGAGCTTGTCTCCCTCTTTCTCTCATGTCTCCTTCCAAAACATGTTTAGCTACCTTGTCAAGTTGTCAACTGTCCCACAAGGCGCCATGCATCCACTCTGGATGTTCGATTCTAGCCACTATCTTCTTCTTCTTTTTCTTGTTTTTTTTTTTAGCCAGAAAATTTTTGACTTCCTTTTGAAGGAAAATTGACATGTTTCATTTGTATTTACCTCTCTCTATAAGTAAATACATTAGTTTCTTTTTTTAAGATATCACAATTCTTAAATTGATTTTAACAATTAAAAACCTATAAATTGCAATTAGTTTTGTAGAGTATTCATTGGGCACATGTGATATGTTCGGTTCAAAAGACATTACTATTTTTGGATCTAAATATAAGTTAATTTTTTTAATTTCAGGATTCAAAATAGTATAATTCATCTCTATATCATTAATTTTTTATTTAAAAATTTAACAAGAAAAAAAAAACTTGAGAATGTTAGTACGTGTGATGGTGAGATAGAGTAAATAATTATATTTTCTCCATAACAAATTATAAGATAATTTCAAAAAAATTTTATTACTTCAAAATATAAGATAATTTAAAAAAATAAAATTTTATTAATGATATTTTTTTAATAATATTTTTTAATTGAAGAAAGAATTATAATAGCGTAATATTAAGTGTGTTATGTTATTTTTTAAATTTATAATTTTATTTAAAAAATAAATTTATCTCAAATTATTGTATAATTTGATATTATGTTTTATTAGAATTATATTTTATTGATATGTATAATTTTATCTCAACTTATTGTATAATATGGGACGAACAAAGTAACCAGTAAAGAAAAATTTGCTATCAGATTTTGTAATTTGTTTTTCATCTGCTGTCAATTGCCAATTATTTGTTGAACAATAGTTAATTTTTAATGCTCTATTTTTTCCTTGGATTTGACAACTTAGCTTTGATGGGATGGGGAGGAATTGCTCCATCCGAAGAGCTTTCTTGAGTTTAAAAAAGCCATGAGAATCGTCAAACACGATGCCCATGTATATATATTTTAATATTCTGGACCTCCTCATTTCATGTGCAATTTTTCTCTGTAACTCTATTTTTAATTATCTTATGTGTTCTTTGCTTTTCAGTCCACTTTTTTTTTCCCTTTAAGAAAAACACTTTACTTTTCCATTAAACTAATCAAATATTCTTATTGGTTGTAGTAGTTCTTAGATGTTCAATTTGAATTTTCTCTTTCTTTTTTCAATTACAAAGGCATGCACTAATGGTATGAAATTATAAGTAAAATTAAACTTGCAATCGCCTGTTTAAAGGAAAGTATGTATGCTACTAGACTACAAGGTCATTGGCATTTGAATTTTTTCTTTTACCACGATGGAAAGCAACGTTCCTCTATCACCAAATCAACAAATAGAGTAATATGGTAATACTTTTAAGTTTTTAAGTGGAAAGTCTAAGCCATCAGGATACAATTGTGAAGAAGTGGATATGATCCACATAGAAATCCTGATCTAATCAATTTTGCAATGATTGAATTGACAAAGCACCAAATTAGAGTGACTTGACATAAGAAGATCCGCAGAAAAGATGATTCAACAATTATGAGTTTGAACAACCAAAAACACAATAGGAATATAAATTAAGATGATAATGTTAAAAGATATCTCCGAGTGGTAGAGTAGAATGAACCAAATTCCATATAAAAAGAAGTTGCTTATACAGTAAATTAATTTTCCATAGAAAAGTCCAGAAAGGATCCTGGTCAAACTAACTTTCTTCCAAATACTTTTACCAAAAAAAAAATTCTTCCAAATATAAGTAAAAAAGAAAATAATACTCTTAATTTGCATTAATGATTTTGCCCGCCCTTAAAAGATCACTTCACTTCAATATTTGGGCCCATTCCTTGTGGACCTTGGAGCCCATGAGAATTATTGGTTGTAGCCCAAGCACTTTAGATTTTGGGCCTTCAATTCGTCCATGGTATTTTTAGTAACGTCCATTGTCTACTTTGCCATAGAATATAACATTGGCCCAAAAAAGAGTAGTACCTTCAAAAATCTAAACAGCAATGTACTATTACCAAATAAATAAATAAATAAATAAACAGTAATGTATTCATGCATTTTTTTTTCTTTTTTTTTTTCCCTGGTAAAAAGTTGGTCCCAAAAGCAAACTGTTTTTTTCACACAATGATGAATGAACTTGAAAATAAGGATTAAAATGCAATATTTTTTATTTCAAATTTCTTTTAAGCACAGCTCCAGTGCTCTACCTTTTCAAATCTAAGAAGTTGGGATGGTTAGCATTAAGTTTAATTTGACATTTTAATTTTATTATAGCGTGAACATTTTAATTAATATATATATAATATACTCCCTTTACACACTTCCCTCTCTAATTATAGGTGACAATTTTTACCTTTATGTCCTTAATTATAAGATATTTTATAAAACATTATTTTTTTCCTGAGATGTTCTAATAAATTATTAAAATGATTATTTAAATTTTAAATTTTGAACGCATTTTTTCATCAAAGAATTTTGAACGCATTAGAATTTGTGAAAACAATGTCATTTAATCGAGGGTAAAACTGGAAAAAAGAAAAAAACATATAAACTAAATTTACATATTTTCTTCATATATATAACTAGACAAGTTACAATGTCTTGTAATTATTTACGGAAGGAGTAGTAACAGCTTTAATAAATTGTAGTACCACCCCTAAATAATTTTAAAAAATAACATTAAAAAAAAGCAAAGACATAAACGACAAACCATAGGAAGAGTTAGATCATCCAAAATGTAAATGCACCTTCCGTTGTTCTTCGGGAGACTGCCAACGCGTTTAGCTCTGCTCCACTCACTCACTCACTCCCTTCTTAGAATTCATGGCTGCAGCAGCACCGGCTATGGCTTTGAACGGAATAAAGACAGGCACAGCATCGCAGGGACACCTAGAAAGAACAGCAGCGAAAGAGACCGAAGTTTTAATTTCTGGGTTCTGTCGCCACTTCTACAATCGTCGATGGGTCATAGGAACTGCAGGAAGCATCGCCGTTAAGGTCCATAATGTCTACATTCGCAAGTCCCAGCAGCTTATGGTCATGTCCCCATCAGGTATCATCCCATGCCGCCTCGAACTATCGTTCATCGGTGTGCATTGTTTGCGATTGTTTGGAATAATTGTTAGTGCATTTCGTTTGATTTCAGTATTTGTATTTTCAATCTTCAATTTGGTGGCCTTCCTTGTCATTTTGGCACTGGCATCTTTCTGGTTATTGGCATTCCTATCCTTACCTGATACCAATTGTGTATTAACTCTACGTTGTTTTTGTTCTTTCAATTTATATATCAGTTGTTGCAATGGATTTTAGATTGTTATCGATGTGCTTGAGTGGAATTTAGCTATGGCTTGGTGAAGGATAATTCATCCGTTTTATCATGTACCGTGTTGTTTTTTTTTTCTTTTTCCTGGAAATTTTCATAGGTGGTTTGTCTGCTTCATCTTCGAAACCTTGCCTGCGTAAAACTACAAAGTCTTCTGGTTGTGATTCTCTCTTCATGAAGGTAATCTATAATGGACTTACAACACCTGAGTGCTATTCTTTTTCCTGTTTTCCTTTAGGAAATGAAGAAATTTTGTAATATGTCCATCGCCCCCCCATTCTTATGTCTTCTCCTTTTCCTTCCCAAGAAAATAGACTATGTCCATCAAGGATGAACTTTCAACTGATAAATTTGGTCCTGTCTATTAAAGTTTCTTGGAATCTTTCGGCCATCTTGCACGTCCAATTTTCCCGTAAGCTTTGGACCTAATCGTTTTATTGTTTTATGTTATCTAGTGGTACTGCGTTCATGTGATGAACATTTGTAAGTCAGGAGCTCTACATGATTATATGGCACATACAGAATCCTTTTAAGAAACTTCCATTTTTATTTTGTCCTCCTTCATCATGCATGATGCTGTTTATCTCTGATTTGTGGATTGAAGCCTCCCAAAGCTATAGCTGCACTTGTTTGCAATGTTGCCTATACATTTGGGGGGACTTATGGATCAGCGTTGGAGCTCAATTTTTATTTGTCTCTGGGAAGGTTGATAGAAATCAATAATCTATATGAAATGTCCATTTGGATTATCTTTTTAATAGTTCCAGGACATTTACGTCAATTTTGGGTTGTTCATTCATCTTGTTTTTGCATAAACTGACGATTTCTCTGTGAGGCTGAGTGTTGTCACAACTTCTTTGTTGCTTTTATTAAACTTTATCAGCGGGCACTAGACTTGTCTTGTCCAAGTGATGGTCCAATACAAAGAGTACGAAGTAGTTTGGGGATTGGCATGGAACAGAATGTGTCAACCAAGGCACGGAAATCTGAAGGTGAAATTGATCCATTCCCTGTGAGTTCACATAATCTTACCTCTCTGATTGAAACTTAGACCTCTATAGTTGTTGCAATTTAATTTTCCACATTCCTTGAACAATATCCTCTGCATACTGGTAATTCTAACTTGCAGTTTGTAGGGTATTTGATATATCCTGCAACTTTGTGCCTTATAGTTTCAAATTAGATGCTTCATTATTTCATCCATCTTGAATGCAGCACTGCGTTGTTCTTGACATTGAGGGGACCACTACTCCCATATCATTTGTTACAGAGGTTCTCTTCCCTTATGCACGTGCTAATGTTGGTAGGCATCTATCTACAACATATGACACCCCTGAGACACAAGATGATATTAAGCTGCTTCGCTCTCAAGTAAGTATTTTATAGAGTTGTCTGACTACTGTATTTATAGAGCCATTTGATACTTTGATACACTGGTATCTTACATTCTTAGATATCTTGGTTATCTTGGTGTAGGATAAAGTGACATTTAAGTTGTTTATGTTTAGTATAATATTTGGAAGGCATCAGGGAAATGATATAAAATGTTATTTGTATAAGTTTGTAAAAATTATGGGATGAGAGATCAATACATTTTTGGGTGGTATGAGATATCTGGAAAGTGAGGGCATCCAGGCATCTAATTCAAATTTGTAATTAAGTTTTGAGCATGTTTGAATGTATTATCAAACAGCTTCGATATACATTTTGAATACTCTTTTGGAATTCTGAAAAAAGAAACCAGCAAAAACCACTTATATATGTAAAGTGTGGTCATGGTAGTAAGGCAGTATGGAAGCCTCACCATAATTGAGTTTCTAACAAGCGATTTTCAAACTTTCAACTAATTGAGAACTGAAGATTTTTATTTTTATTTATTTCTTGTTGCGTTCAAATTATTTGAAACATTGACCTCGTGATCACAGGTTCAAAATGACCTGGAACAAGGGATTGCAGGTGCTGTGCCTATCCCCTCAGATGATGCTAGGAAAGAGGAAGTCATTGCTGCTTTGGTTGCTAATGTAGAAGCTATGATTAAAGCAGATAGGAAGATCACTGCCTTGAAAGAGTTACAGGTAAACCTGATTCAGTAGAACTTTTATCTTTATCGAATTTATATTTGTGTAGTTGAAATCTTGTCGTGCAGGGTCATATATGGCAAACAGGTTTTGAGGGTAAGGAATTGGAGGCAATAGTTTTTGATGATGTACCAAAAGCTCTTGAGAAGTGGCATGCCTTGGGTAAAAAGGTTTGAATTACGAAATCTTAGCTCTGAAACTGATAATTTTCTCATTCTATTTGTCTTCCTTAGTTCCTTCGTAAGAGTACTTCCAGTGCTGTCGCTTTTTAGCCCCCCTTCAATGAGAGATGACTTAATTAGATAATGCCCCCAATTTATAAAAAATATACACAACCTTCCCTAACCAAAAACATATTACAACTAACCTTAATTTTAGATAAGGATTCATTTATTTTTCCTTTTCAGGTCATCAAAGACCTAATGCTGCATTATTTTTAACAGATACTCCTTCATTGGGTCTCTTTCTTTGTTTCTTTGTTTTTTTAAAACTTTTTCTTCCTCTAACATGGTGGCTGGGGGGTTCCTTTTATATGCAAGTAAATGGAAGATTTGAGATTGGTGGCAGCATAAAGACCTTCATCGTGAAGAAATTGGTCTTATTCCCCATCTATCTTAATCTATGCCTTTGTTTGACGTTAACTCTGTTATTGGTGACGCAGGTAGAGTTTTTTCACAAGAAACCAATGGTAAATGGATCCCCTAAAAATCGGGTTTAATTGTAACTTGCTTTTTGGTTTTAAAAGAGGCGCCCCTTTTTTTCATAATAGGACGGGTGTTCTTATGAATAAAATATCTCTCAGAGGAGGGTTGAATATTTCACTCCTTGTTTTAATTATCTGCTGGATAGTTATGGAACAAATGAAGTGATCAAAAGTTGGACGTGCTTCTCACATGTTGCATGGAAGGTATGTTTCCTTGCACCTTAATTTCTATTTTTAAACTTTGCAACAGGTGTACATATATTCTAGTGGTAGTAGGTTGGCGCAAAGGCTAATATTTGGAAATACAAACTATGGGGACCTGAGAAAATACTTATGTGGGTTTTTTGACACCAAAGTGGGGTAATGTTTTCTCGATACTGCGTTTTGACAGTGCTTGTCTTAACTCTTATTTCAGCTATCTTCATGCAGAACTCTTTCTTTTGCAGTAACAAAAGAGAGACATCCAGTTACGTTGAAATTTTTGAGTCACTTGGTGTTGATAAACCATCAAATATTTTGTTTCTGACTGATGTCTCTCAAGAAGCCACAGCTGCAAAGTCTGCAGGTTTGTGATTTTCTATTAATACCTCTATTTATATACTCATTAATAGATATGATTGACGCTTTTATAACTATTAGATTGCTTCTCCGAGCTATTGCTCCTATTAGATTGCTTCTTCGAGCTATTGCTCCTATCAATGCACAGGTCAGGAAGCCAAAACCTACCGTTTCTGCACCGATGAGTCTTATTTTTACTTCTTTATAATATAGCATCTGAATTACTGACTTTCCAATGAAACCAATAAAAAAAAAATCAAATAAAATTTGATAAATTATTGATTGTGTAATGGTAAGCGCCTTGAAAAGCAATTCACATAGAATATGCTGCAAGCTAGCTTTCTCTTCACTTCCGAATAATTCCTTGCTTCAGCTGGCAAATCAATGTGCAGAGATTCCAAAAAAAATTAAACGGCATGTTTCCGTTTAGATGTAAATAAAAACATTAAGAAGTATAGTAACTTCCATCTTGATTGAGGAACCTCAAATAAATAAACATCTAAATATGTCGAGCTCACTTTTTGAGCACTTTGATCATGATATTTGTCTGTCTATTGCAGACCATTCTACCTTGAATATGCAGAAACAAAAATAGGGAATTGACACACACAGATTTGTGTCTATGTTTCAAACTTATTTAAGAAATGCATGCTTTTGCAGCCCTACGGTTATATGGCCAAGTGAGAACTGTTCATTTCATTATTTTCTGCCCACGAATTGGTTTGTGTCCTTGTTTCAGGATTGGAAGTGGTGATTTCTGTTAGACCTGGAAACGGACCTCTTCCGGAAAATCATGGGTTCAGGACAGTCAATTCCTTCTTGGAGGTATGAGAATGAGAGTAGTACTTAAAGTGATTGTGTAACGATGTTAAATGTGCAGCAACAACTACGGATGTATACCTTATAACGTTCACTTCCAAAACTGAAATCTTTTTGATTCTAACATTTCAGTTGTTTTCCTTGTGTCTCTCCAACTTTAAATCCTTTAGTTACAGTTTAGTCAGTTTAAGTTTCCACCTTTAGACTGTTTTTAATGGTGGGATATAAATGTTTTGACTGTTCATTACTTTTTTCTTCAATTTAAATCCTTCACTCTACTGATACATGCAAGTGACAATTGTGTTGTTCATAAATGCATGAATTGTTTGTAAGCTTTTAGTAAATCCTTCACCCTACTGATACATGCAAGTGACAATTGTATTATTCACAAATGCGTGAATTGTTTGTAAGCTTTCAGTCTCGGGGCCTCACATTTAGTTAGCATTAAAGGTTAGTATAGATGATGTGATAAATTCTTTAATTGGCGGTGACAAGATGATATGATTGTTAATATTGCAAGTCTAGTAGAATTTTCAGTTGTTTTGTCTCTTGACCATACTTGAATGATGACAAGGTATTTAAGTTGGTCTAAAGTTATCTTCGTTCACTAGCCATTGGTATTTCCAACTTGGTGCCTTTTCAAACCAACCCAATTTCCTCTTTTTTTGGTTTTGGCCAATCAAAGCAACCTAATTAGTTTCTATCTTTTTCAAGGAAAAATAAGTTAGAAACACTGTTTTAACAAAAAGAGGAGAGTTTAAAATATTAGTTTAATTTTATTTTTGGATAATATAATTTTCATTCTTAATTTTTTTTCCTCATTGAACTTTTTTTAATGAATTAGTCATTGAGTACAACTTGATTTTTATAGTTTATTGACTTAAAAAATTATAATAATTGAATTGTTTCAAGTTAAAAAGTTATACAAATAGGGTTGTTTTGAGTCAATTATCGAGACTGGGTTATTCTGCTTCAAAGTTTAGAAGCTTTATTGATAATTAGAAAAACTGAGAGATTAAAAATTACATCCTCTCTCTATCATAGTACTTTATTAACTTAAATACATTACTTTCGTCAAGTTTAATGGAAAAAATCTATTCCTTATTCTCACTATATATATTTGAGTACTATCGTGTAAATATAATGCGGTTTAATGATTAAAGTTCACGAAGGCTTTGTAGGAAAAAAATAAAGATGAATTAAAGTATATATTTGAAAAATATAAATAAATTAGTGATCTATATTTTTTGTTGCTAGATGCAAAATAATTAGAATTCATGTTATCCATATATATGTGCGCGTGCGTGCGTGCGTGCGTGTGTGTTTGAACCAAAATCGGAGCGCCCAGCCTAATTATCGTGATTCTTGAAGGTCAAACTAGAGGGAGAAAGCTTGGCCCAATTACGATCCAACGACGCATGAATAAATAGGATAGTGTGTTTTGAGGGAAAGTTTGACATGGTTGTGCCTATTTTGCCCATTCTCCTAAATTTTTGGTAGACCCGCGTCCGTTGCTTCATACGATGGAGCTCTCCTCAAAGATTCAAAGGCACGAACTGTTATCTACTCTTGCAGGCACCAAACTCAAATTTGAAAAGGAGTGCATCGTTGTCATTTGCTTTGAATAAACAACAAGCACATAACTCAAGGATTCTTGACACCCTGCAAAATTTACACTAGACTTGACTAACACAGTTACTCAAATATCGATCTTGCATTATCTTCAACCTTGCCTTGTGTGACTTATCTTCTCCATGCAAACTTAACTTCGCAGGGTAGTTTCTCATATTTATCTGCTTCTCCGTATTCAAGGCGTAACATCCCAGTTTTATTTTGAGATTTAAGTGACATTAATATAATATATTTTTTAATAATTAGAATTTATCATGCAATTAGTTGAGTAAAGTAAATTTAGTCAAAAAAAAAAAAGAAATTAAAGATATAATTTTTAGAAAAGTAGAACATTTATAAGATTAGATGAGATTAGATAAAACATTTAAAATAATTATCTAATTTAACATATTATATATTATTTAAACAAAACAAATAATTAAAATTGAGAAAAATGCGCAAAGTGTTGTCTTTCAGATTTTAAGAGTCTTAATTATATACATATATAATGTATGTAATAAGCTTTTATTTTATATATATATATATATATATATATAAACAATATATAAAGATATAAAAAATTAAACATAATATGACAATTATCAAATAATGGGGGCCCTGCCCTATACTTGAACAGATTAGGGTATCATTGATACCCACGTTGCTGTGCGGAAGCGGAAGGAATGCGTCTTTTTTCTATAGCAGCGCAGCAGCACTGTGAGAGGTGCGAGAGTCAGATCACATTGTGACGGAGAGTGAGAGCTTTATTTGGGTTATTTAATTCACTTACTCTAACTCCTAAAAATTAGATAAGTGATCTAGCGCTCTCTCTCTCTGTTTTTTTGTTGTTGATATTTTTGAGATCTTGTAAGGAAAGGAATTAAAATTAGATGGATTTTAAATTTGTTAAGTATTTCCAACTGATTATTAAAATGTTACACGAGCAAAAAAAGATTATATTAAGAGTCTATATGTATTAATTTTGCTCAAATTATTGTTATTGAGGACTTGAGGGTAGTTTTTAATGTTTTGGGAAACTTACTATAAACGAATAATAATTTATTTATGATCTCATAGGCTAAGAAAAATTCTATAGAAGCTAAATCTATTTATAAATATCCCGAATATAAGGGTGTCAATTATATGAAACTGATAAATTGATACTTAAACTTTAGAGATAGAATGTGAGTTTTTGAGGGAAACTAGAATATATATATATATATAGTTTCATTAAATTTATGCTAGTTACTCCTTGTCTTTGTGGTTTACTCAAGTGTTCTTTAACTGCAACACACGAGTTCGAACTGACATAAAAAAAAAAATTATAGAGGTAGAAAAAAATGGACAAAATTTATATAAATTAATTTAAGTTGAAGAATGAAATAGTTTAGAGATTAAATGAAGAATGTTAGGAACTGTTAGAGTTAATTTTTGGATAAAATAAATTATTGAGGCTTATTAAATAATTATATTTTTTATTATTAATTTTTGTAGACTAGCATTTGCGTTGGTGGTTTTGTGGACATTCCAGAATGCATAGTTTTAGTTTAGAAAAGAGGAATCAATGGTTATTCTTTTTATATTAGGAAGCTTTTACACACTATTATATATATATATATATATATATATATATATATAAATGGTTCTAGGAGTGTTGTGTCCACTGGAGGTTTATTTGATTGATTTTGGATTGAAAATATATGTTTTGAATTGTCTAGCATGCTTGTGTGATTTCTGAAATATATATATATATATATATATATAATTACTTTATTCCTTCCAAGCATACTAATTTTTTTGAGTTATGATTGAATTGTGAAAATAAATTTTTATAACAATTTAATTATGTCAAGCATGCTTGTGTATTTGGAATTATTTCTGAATGTGATGCATTTTGTAAGGAGTATAAGAGAGGTTATGTTTGTGGTGGATGTATTGGGGATCTTATTGTTATTTTGGCCATATAGTAGGCTATCACCATTAATCTTGTGATTTGCATTTTTTATTAAGGCACATTTCCCTTAGTTTGGGACTGTGGAACAATGTACACCTTTTTTAAGGGAGGAGTTTAGTTTTTATAGGCAATGCATTTTTGATTAGGTACATTCTCAAACTAGACTCCTACTATTGAAATAAGTTGGATGGAAAGCACAAGGGAGGGTTAAGGATTCCATTACCTATTGTATGATTTTTTTTTAATATACTTTTGACTTGTAAAAGCAACATTCCTTTTGTGAATTGGTTTTGCAAAAGATATTATTTATGTAAATACATGCTATGAAATGAAATTTTGAATTGGTTTATTAGTATATTTAGAATTCTCATATGTTATTAAGACATTAGATCTCATGTGTTATCTCTTACAATTTTCAGGTGAGGCCGTGAGGGTTCCGATAGTTTACAAGAAAATATGTTAGAGAATTGAGTGATGACTCAATTGTCTTGTAGGTATTGCATATGTTCAATTTACACTTTTTTTTATTGCCAGGACTTATGAGCGTGCATTTAAGTTATATTTTATTGATTTTGAAACATTTAATAAATTATGATATTTTGAGTCACTACAAAAAACAGTGAATTAGTGATAGAATTTAGTGATAGAATAAATTTTTGTTGCTAAAATTTTGTCATTATTCCGTTATTAATCCATCAAAAATAATTTAGTAACAGAATTCACCAATGAAAAATTCTACCGCTATTTTTCAAGATATCTTATTCCAATTAGCAATGGAATTTGTAATGAAAAATTCTGTCACAACTTTTTGTCATAATTACATGAAAAATTATTTTTAATTTTATTATCTATAATATGTATTTATATATAATTTCTTATTATGCCATAAATAAATTATTTAAAAAATATAATTTAAAATATTTTATTATTTTAAATTATTTGTATTTTATGAATAATAATTAAATTGTATACTTAATTCTTCTTATTCAAAAATAAAAACAAAAAATACTATTAAATAAAAAATTTAAAATTGAAAAAATATATATTATATAGATACAAATTATAATATAATATATAATGATAATAAAATATTTTTCAATTTAATATTAAATTTATTATCAAAAGTAATTTTTTAAAATATAATGTAATAAAAATAATTATTATATATAAATTAATTTTACCATATTTATAAATAAATATAATGTTAAATAAATAAGTAAATTTAGATAATATATTTATTAATATATGTGTTTGTGTGGGATTAAATATTATATATTTAATTTATCAATTAAGATTAAATTTTTTTAGCTCAACTGGCAATATGGTAGATGCAAAGGCAATAAGGGTGTGAGGTTGTGAGTTTGAGCCTGGCCAAGATATAATTAAAGGTAATAATATTTGACATGATAGTGACAAATGATGTGGTGGTGAGGTGATACTAGTCTACTGGATGATGAGGTAGCATTGGTCTGTCGAGTGATGTGACAATGATGTTTTGGCCAACCTAAAAATTAGAGACGGACTAAATCTATTAAAAAATTAATGATGGATTAGAGATGAA